GCTCTGTGTGTGCAAGGAGTTGATTTTTCTTCTTTCCTCTCAGTTTTCTTTTCGTTTTTTTGAGCAGTTCCTGCTGCCTCTTCAGGCGCTGTTGCAGTTACGTCCAAGTCGTCATCATCAGCGACGCCAGCGTCTAGCATGAGTGGTCTGGTATCTAGCAATGCAAACAATGGCAGTTTCACTTCAGCCACACTCACGTCCAGCCAACAGCCAACAGCCAACTGCCAACTGCATCGAAGAGCTAACAGCTCCAGTTCCAGTTTCATTTTGAGGAGCAGTCATTGCCGTCACTTTGTGTGTCCTTCGCCGTTCACTTTCGTTGACCACGAGGCGACGATACATTTTCTTGTATTTCTTTTTCGTCTCTGTTTTTTCTTTTTTTTTTTTTTTTTTTTCATTTGCTTTTTTCCACTGTTTGCTCCTCTTGTGTTCAACAAAATGTTCCAAATTGTTGCGCACTGCAAACATTTCAAGAATTTGCGCTTAACAAACTTCGAAAAAACGTTTTTTCCCCCTCGGCTCCAATATATGTAAGTGGATGTGAGTGTGTGTGTGTGTTTGTTAAGTTTTTATTTCTTTGTTTGCTGACTGCACTGAAATTTATACGCGGGCAAAGACTTTGGCAAAATAATTAAAACGAAACGCAGCGCCGCCAAGCTGTTCCCACAAAACAAAAGACTTAGACAACGAACTTGACGAAGCCCCTAACAAACGAACACAGAAATACAGAAAAACACTGAAACAGTTAGGCTAGTTATCGTTATAGCTAACAGAGACAGACCATAACATCATTTGTCAAATCCCGGAGCCCGAGTCAAAAATGAAAACACATGTATTTGTTTAATTCGATTAAGTTTTGTGGGGCCTGGACCTTGCTGCTGGCTAACAAAGTATAACAAGTTTTCGAGCGCCAGCTTCTTTCCCACCATATTGGCAACAGTTACAGCAATAACAAACAGCTGGCTATAAAAGGCTGGCAGCGATAAGACCGTGCCAGGCTATGAAGACACTGTGCCAACTGGAAAGTCGCCAACCGAGCTACGATTTATCATCAAAGCTAAGCTCGAAAAAACAAAAAAAAAACAGCAACAACAACAAAAATCTGTAGCCAAAAAAAGGCAACCCGGTTGAATTGATGCCTCGCAACGAGCTACAAAAATTAATGTTAATTAATTTGACTTAAACTGACAATTTCAACAGACGCATTACTGCGGGGCAAATAGCAAAATTCGAAAAAGAAAAAAAAAAACGACAACAACGAAAATAGCTAAAAATAAAGATAGCTAAAATACGTGTGTTACAAATATTGAAAAAAAGTAAACCAAAAACAAAATCAGATCAAAGAAGAACAATAAATAAGATAAAATGTTCACGAGCTTATGTGTGGCCACAAAAAAAGAAAAAAAATTGAAAAAAAAAACCAAATGTCGCTCGAATTAGATTTAGATTCCATTTGAAATTTAGATCGATAGATAATGAACAGACAACAACAATGGCAGCCTCTCTTTTGAGGTGCCTCAACAGACAGCTGACACTATATACACTATATGCTCTATATTTATTTATTTTTTATTTAATTTTATGCTTATTTATTGCAAATGTGATTGCCATATATTCCCTTTGATCTCTTGTGCTAGTTAACTATGCATGGCCATTTGATTTCATTTGATGTGCATTCACTTTGAAAGACCCTTTTTATATATTTTATATATTGTATTATTTACATATTAAATGCGAGCTTCCTATTAGAAATCAACTGTGTTAACTTTACAATAACTGTAAAAATAAAATGTTGCTGTTGCTCTGGTTGCTGCTCATAAATTATGTTTATGCTTGTCATTCGATACTGAGCAACTTTTAATTGTTTGTGCAAATTCAATTAGACAAATCGTGAGTCTAGCTCCACTCACACACACACACACACACGCACATGCTAAAGTTCTCTCTCATACAGCAGCAGCAACAGCCTGGTCCCAAGAATGCGCCAGCTTCGTTGTTGTCGTCTTCGCCCGCCCTCCTCTCCTCGGAGTCTGCCATAGTCAGCTCTGCGTCTCTGAGCTACACTCGAGCAGGCAGGCGACTCATTCCGTTTCCAACGCACATTCGCGCTCTGTCCTCGAGTAAAAATTCTCTAAACATGCTGTCAAGTTATGTCTACATTCCTTGATCATATTTTTTCCAACCTTTTTTCCCCCACACTAACGTGGACTCGATGTGTTTGTGTGTTGTGTGCGTGTTCGTGAGCTGCCATTGCAGCGCGCTCTTGCTGCGCAAAGAGCACCAAATACTAGTTTCTTAATGTGCCGCAGCAAATGTGCCGCGCTGAGCATAAAAATCAACAACACGAACGCTTCAAGAGCTGCAAATGGACATTAAAATGTTCATGGTCTGTGCCTGCATCAATGCTCAGCTGAGGAATTCTCAACTCTCGAATTCTCTCTCTCTCTCACTCTCTCTCTCTCTCTCTCGGAAATTCAGATTTACTCATTGAGTGAGTTTTTAGTTTGAGCCATGTGCGCTCTTAAGAGCTGCTCTTAAAATCTTAAAAAGCTCAAAAAGTTTTTAAATAAATATAAGTTTCATTCTAAAATTTTTAAAATAAAATATTCTTAAATATAAAACGTAAATAAATATTATTTAAATTTTACATACCGACATTTATATATAGATATATAAATAAATATTTTTTTTTTTTACCAAATGCTTTGCCGTCGGCAAGCTACTTTACACATACATACATATATGAATATAAATATAATGAAAAAATTCTATACCCCAAATGATATCATGCTGATAAATATCTTTGAAAAATGAACACAGTGAACAATTATTGTTTAATTTTAAGGTATACTGAACTATATAAAATATATTGTGTATCATGCATTATTATTACCAAAAAGCAAAACTAAAATTTGATATAAAATATTTGAAAATTTGTCATTTGCGTTGTTGTTCAGTTGCTGGGCGCTAAAAAAAAAAAAAAGAATGCATATCAATTGGTATATCAATTGCTTAATATTCGCTTGCGTCATGAACAATAGCTTCGGTGAGAAGGTACGTTCACATCAATCGAGTAGTGCACAAAAAATTCATGATTTCCCACTTAATTTATTAAGCAAGTTCTCGTCAAGAGAACACAGTGTGTGCTAAAGAGCAAGGTAATAGCCAGTGTGGACTGCTCGAAAGACAATGATACTTCCCTTTCGTTTTACATGAAAACAATCCATGACATTGTGAGGCTTTACGGCTTATCGAGCTTATACATCTACATCACTGGTAGAAAGAATGTGATACAACTTAAAGGACTACGCACTGAGTTCTGCCAATCTTTGACGGAACGCAAGCGTCCCAATTTGCTGGGATTGATCAATGCGGGCCTGCGAAAAGCGCACACGAATTTTCCTCAAAAATGTCCCTTTCATAGCGTGAGTTAGTCGCTTGGAAATGTGTATATTAGTGTTAAGATAACGTATACTGTTCCTTCCTGTACTGATTATAGAATACCAGATATATATTGGAACATCTTCAGTTCGATTCCAAATATTTGCCCAACTATATACCGGAGTACAATTTTACGTATATTGGCAAATTCTTTATGAACAATGTGTTCACGGCTGAAGTGAAAGTGACTGGAGGAGTTTGTAATGTCGGCAATGATTGTAGATGATATAAATATACATATATCACTGATATAGAAATATATTTTATTCATTTTTTTGCAATAATCTAAATAATTTATGTCATGTTTTGCCGTCAGCCAACCAATAAAATAAGCTATTTTATAAGCTCAAAATATATTTAAAAAAAAAAATGAAATACATTTTTTATTCGGTCTGAAGTAAAAATACAATAATAATACTATAATATATAATAATGATAATAGATAAACCATTGATGCTTTAATTGTACCTCTACCTGTTCCGTAAACTGTTCCAGAAGTTAATATAAAATGTTCATCATTTGTATCGTAGCACAGTCGCTTAGCTCTCTAAAGATGAACATCAAATGCTTTATCTACTGCTTTTTATACGCTAGCCTGCTAAGCAAAAGCTTCTGTGAAAAGGTATGTTCGTGTCGATCAAATTGTGCCACAAGATTCCTAAGATCTATATCTGTTTTTGAAAGCTCATTCTGGTAGCGGATATGCAATGCGTTGTAAAGAGCAAGTTGCTGGCCCGTTTGGACTGCGTAAAAGACAATGATACCTCCATATCATTTCAGTTCATAGCAACCGAAGACCTCGTGAGCTACTATTGCAAATCGAGCTTCGCTATTAAAGTAAATTCTGTCAAGAATGCGATACAATTTAAAGGACTTCGCACAAATTTGTGCGACCCCTCAATAATGCGTAAGCGGCATAATTTTCAGTCAATGATCGACACGGCCAGACTTACTGCGACTACGAATTACCCCAGGAAGTTTTGCAGCCTGTGATTCAATTCAAGCATAGAGATAACGTATACTGCTTAATGATTCCAGAATTCCCCATATTTCATAAAACATATGCAGTTCGATGCCAAGTTTGTGCCCAGTTATTTGCCGGAATACAATTTAACATATACTGGTAAATGCTATATGAACAATGAGCTGACGGTTGAGTTAAAAATTACTGGATCTGTTTGTAATATCGGACATGATTGTAGATGAGTTAAATACAGTTTAATGAAAAAGTAAACAGTAAAAAAACTTAGATCTGAACAAAACGTGGATCTTGAATAACAGAATAAGTTGTGAGATGTATCTAAATTTATATAGGAATATCTATACATTTTGAAACAGGGTTTTTTCTTCCATATTTTAGAATTTAAACACAAAAAAAAAAGAGAGAATTTCTAGCCCCATGAAAATAATTTCGCTTCATATGATAAAAATCTGGAAAAATCTGGAAAATAAAAATGTGATGCATGAATTAGTGTAGCATTTAAACGAATTATAATTGGTGCTGAAATCGATATAAAATGCTTTGAATTGTGTCATTCGATCGTAGTTCAGTTGTTTAAATCTGTAAAGATGCACATCAAATGGTTTACTTACCTTTTTATATACATCTACGTTATAGACAAGATCTTTTGCGAAAAGGTTCGTTCATAACAATAAAACTGTGCAACAAAATTCATAGGATTAATAAATATACATTTTTTAGTATATTATTTTCAAAACTTTGCAATGTTCTCCAAAGAGCCAATTAATAAGAAATCTAGAGTGCTCGAATGATGATACTTCCCTGTCGTTTAGTGCGGACACAGTCAAAGAGATCGCCAAGTATTTCGGCTTATCTAATATAAATTTATATATATCTGGAAATAAAAATGTGATGCAACTGAAAGGATTACGGACGGAGTTTTGCGAGACCCGGTCGGAGCGTAAGCGACCCAATTTGATGTCGTTGGTAAATGTGGGCATATATAACTCGATCAACAACTACCCTCAACGATGTCCCCTTCTTAGGGTGAGCAAGTGCTTGGGTACATCTTCTAACGTATATATTGTATATATTCCAAATGATTTTAGAATACTACGTACTACTTGAAACGAATGCAATTTGATGCAAAGCATGTGCCCAGATATTTGCCGGAATACAATTTTACATACGCTGGCAAATTCTATATGAACAGTATGCTGACGGCTGAGGTGCAAGTCACTGGATCAATATGTAATATCGGAAATGATTGTAGAGGAATTAAATAATATTTAAACTGGAAACAAAATAAACACTGAAAGAGCTGAAAGATTGTTTTTAGACAGACAGACAGAGCGAGCAGAGCACATCTAATTAACCCTAAAGTGTCTAAAAAAACAAGTAAAAATCTGAATTCAGACTTGGCTGCCAACTCTATATGAGTTTATCTGATAAAAATCAGAAACTAAAGAAAGGAATATTAAGATCGTTCTTAGAAATGTTCCTAAATTAAAGGAAGGCTGGTGAGATTTCTTTGTTTAAATTCAAGCATGAATAAGTTTTCAATTACTTTCAAAACTCGAAATCGACCTTTCCAAACGATTTTTTAACTATTCGCAATGCTTTAATTCGTTTGAATTACTGATACAACATCATAACATTCAGGCTATTGAAAGGAAATTTACTTTCTATCCTTTGATATCATCGAACGCGTCTGTAGAAATAAATATATGCAAATTTTATATATTATATATATATATATATATATATATATATATATATATATTTATTTATTTATTTATTTATTTATTTATATTTATATTTTTAAACACGGGTTTATTCATGTTAAAAAGGTAAAAAAAAAAAAATTCTCGCCACATGCAAATAATTTCACCTCAATAGGTTATGATAAAAATCTAGAAAAAAGAAGAAAAAAAAATTGCTGCATGAATTCGTGAAACATTTAAACGAATAATAATTGGCTCAGAAACCGATATAAAATGATTTGAATTTTGTCGTTCGATCGTAGTTTAGTTGCTTACATCTCTAAAGATGCACATCAAATGGTTTACTTACGTCTTTATATACACCTACGTTATAGAGAGGATCTTTTGCGGAAAGGTACGTTCATTACAATTAAATTTTACAACAAAATGCATAGGATTCATAAATATATACTTTATAGTATATTATTTTCGAAAATTTTCAATGTACTCTAAAGAGCAAAATAGTAACCAATGTGAAGTGCTTGAATGATGAAACTTCCTTGTCCTTTCGCTTAGACACAGTCAAAGATATTGCCAACTATTACGGCTTATCTAATGTAAATTTATATGTTTCTGGTAACAAGAATGTGATGCAAATGAAAGGATTACGGACGGAGTTTTGTGAGGCCCGGTCAGACCGTAAGCAACCCAATTTGATGTCGTTGGTAAATGTGGGCATATATAGCTCGATCAACAACTTCCCTCAGCGATGCCCATTTCATAGGGTGAGTTAGTGCTTCGGTATATCTTCTAGAGTATATATTGTGTGTATTTCAAAATGATTATAGAATACCACGTACTACTTGAAACGAATGCAGTTTGATACCAAGTATCAAGTACCAAGTAGAGTATATATTGTGTGTATTTCAAAATGATTATAGAATACCACGTACTACTTGAAACGAATGCAGTTTGATACCAAGTATGTGCCCAGATATTTGCCGGAATACAATTTCACATACACTGGTAAATTCTATATAAACAGGGTGCTGACGATAGAGGTGCGAGTCACTGGATCCATATGTAATAACGGAAATAATTGTAGATGATAAATAATATTTAAACTGGAAACAAAATAAACTCTAAAAAAGCTGTAGGACTGTTTTTAGTCTTCTTGAAAATGCCCATCATTGGTTGAGATAGAGCGAGCAAAGCATATCTTAACCCTATATGTGTCCAAAAAACAAGTAATAATCTAAATTTAGTTTATTAAAAATGAATAAGCTAAGCAAAGAAACATTGTTCCTAAATTAAAGGAAGGCTGGTGAGATTTCTTTTCTTAAATTCAAGCATGAATAAGTTTTCACTTACTTTCGAAACTAGAAGTCGACCTTTCCTAACGAATTCGATGCGAATTGCTGATGCAAAATAAAAACGTTCAGTATATTGAGAAGCGAATTTGCTTTCCATCCTTTGATATCATCGAAAATATATGCAAATTGTTTTTATACTTTTTAAATTGACAAAAAAAAAAAAATGAAATGCAAATATATATTATTTAAACGCGGTTTTTTCACGTTAAAAAGGTAAAAATTAAAAAAATAAAATTTCTGGACACATGAAAATAATTTTATTTCAATAAGTTTTGATAAAAATCTAGAAAAAAAATGCAAAACATTAGTGTGGCATTTAAATGAATTATAATTGGTTCAGAAATCAATATAAAATGCTTTGAATTGTTTCATTCGATCGTAGTTCAGTTGTTTAAACCTCAAGAGATGCACATCAAATGGTTCACTTACGCCTTTATATACACCTACGTTATAAGCAAAATCTTTTGCGAAAAGGTACGCTCTGATCACTCAATTGTGCAGCGAAATTCATGTAATCTACTAATTTCCCTATATAGCGTATACTTTACAACACGACGCAATGCATTGTAAAGGGCAAAGCTTTAAGAAGTCTGCAGTGCTTGCATGATAATACTTCGCTTTCGTTTAGCATGGACTTAGCCAAAGAGATCGACGAATATTACGGCTTATCTAATGTGAATTTATATATTTATGGTAAAAAGAATGTGATGCAACTGAAAAGAATACGCACAGATCTTTGCAAAGTCCGGACGGAGCATAAGCGACCCAATTTAATTTCGATAATAAATATGGGCATATACACCTCCATCAACAACTACCCTCAGCGATGTCCCCTTCTTAGGGTGAGTTAGAGCTTGGGAATATATTCTAGAGTATATGCAGTATATATTGCTGAATGTTTACAGAATACCACGTACTACATGAGGCATGTGCAGTTCGATTTCAAGTATCTGCCTAGCTATTGGCCGGAATACAATTTTACATACGCCGGCAAATTCTATATGGACAAGGTGCTGACGTTTGAGATGCATATCACTGGAGCAATTTGTAATGTTGAAAGCAAATGTATATGAATTCAAAAATATAGAAATTTTAAATGAAATAAACGCTGAAAAAACAGTTATTAGCCCTCATTGTCGGAAGTAGAGCGAGCGGACACAAATAAAGCAAAGATTCTGTTTGCAATATCGATAAACGATGAGATCGTAGTCTTTGAATTAAAATATGAACTTATTGATTTTTGACATGAATTCACAGAGCTTCAATTGCGTTAAATAATAATAATTCCACTTTAATAAATGTTGATAAAAATCTATATAAATTTAATAATAAAGCAAAAAATATGCTTCATGGTTTTTTATAGCATTTAAATGAATTATTATTATTTAAGTTTAAAAAAATATTTATAATAATATTGCATAATGATAGTATTTAAATATGCGTTTAAATCTGTATAAAATGCTGGGGACTGTGTCATTCGAACGTAGTTCAATTGCTTAAATCTGTAAAGATGCACATCAAATGGTTCATTTACCTTTTTATATCCACCTACGTTATGGATAAAATCGGTTGCGATAAGGTTCGTTCATCACAATTGAATAGTGCACGAATATTCATTATAATAATCTATGTTCTTCAAAAAGCACATTCTTTTCACGACATCGCGCTGTTTTCTAAAGAGCAAACTAATAACCAATCTGGAGTGCTCTAATGATAATACCACCCTGTCGTTTAAGATAGATACGGTCAAAGAGATTGAAAAATGTTACGGCTTATCTAATATTAATTTCTATGTATTTGGCAACAAGCACACAATACAACTGAGAAAATTACGTACAGAGTTCTGCGATGCTTTGACTGTGTATAAGCCGCGCACTTTGATGTCGTTGGTAAATCAGGGCATATATGGTTCGATCAACAACTTTCCTAAACGTTGTCCTTTCCTTACGGTGAGTTATGCTTCGGGAATATATTCTGGAATAATTATATGAATGATGAATGATTATAGAATACCACGTATTATATGAACAATATGAAGTTCGATGCGAAGTTTTTGCCCAACTATTTAGCGGAATACAATTTTACATTCAATGGCAGAATCTATATGAACAATGTGCTGACGATGGTGGTGGAAGTCATTGGATCCTGTTGTAATATCGGAAATGACTGCAGATGAGCTATAGATACATATTCATATGTATTACATTATTATATATATATATCTGTGTGATTTTCTATCTCTATTAATGGATTGAATGATTATATTGTTCAACTCGTCTCGTCAAAAATCAATTAGATTTCTGAAAAAATTATTGTTTATAATATTACGTTTGTCTCTCAGCAATTAGTCGCAATCGAATTCTGTACTGTGTTAGTTTGGCATTTCAATAAAAACTATAAAAATGAAACAAAAACATTTCTCATATTTTCTTATTCTTATCTATGTGCTGAGTGCTAGCTGCTCCACTAAGGTGAGTTCTTCACTTTATATCACTGGCAATTTTAACGAATTTCCGTGTAAAGACAATCATTTTTAGAGAAGTTCAATGTCAGCTGAAAGGCAATAAGGTGCAAAAAATTGAATGTTTTATGGAGCAGTCAAACTCATTTACCATACGGCTGAGGACCAATGACATTAAGATAAACAATTTGGTGGGCATTTCGGACTTAACATTGAATATATATGGCAAACGGGATGGAATGCGCTTTAAGGGCATACGCTTGGATTTATGCAAACTGAATGCAAGCAAACAGCCATCCATATTGAGTATTATGCAACACGGCCTATCGAATTCGGAAAACAATTTACCCAAGAACTGTAACTTTCAGCGGGTGAGTCAAGCATGATAGATTCTGAGATGACCTGAGATGAAATTTATTGAAATGCTTACAGAATACCACATACTATGTGCGTAACGTCAAGTTCGATACCAATTATTTGCCATTATTTATGCCGGAATATAATTTCACATACATTGGAAAATTTCATGTGAATTATGTGAAAACCTATGATATGCATATAACAGGTTCGCTGCTTTATGACAAAAACGATGCTAATTATACAAAAATCTGATCCAAAAATAATTTTTTTAAATGTATAAAAAAATATATAAAAAAATAAATAAAATAAAAGATAAATTGAAATTTAAATGTTGCCCAATTACTGTCGAATCGCAATTGTATAAAAAATACATAAATAAATAACTAAATAACTAAATAATAAGAGTAGAGTTTCATATAAATATAATGATCGCCAGACTGCAGTACTTTATTCAAAATTTTGTTGTTCGCTAATCCATTTCATAATGCCTCAAAAACTCTATCTATTTGGATTCTGTATCGCTGGACTGTTGACCTTGGGTGTAGCCCAAAAGGTATTTTAGGCTCGACCAGGATAAACAAAATATAACTAATCTTCCATCCATTACCATAAAACTTTCTTAAGCGTATCACATTTCTCGGCTTGAAATGTGAAAACAAATCCAACAAATTATCAAGAGTTTCCTGTTTTTTGGAAAATTCTACTGCATTTACGGTGGAATTCACGGTGGGCAACAAGGATGTCAACAATTTCAATGGCTTAGTGGAAATGACTCTCTCTCAGTATCAGCCAAAGGGAAATAAAGTGAACGTAGGCCGTTTGGATATATGCAAGATGCTAACGGGTCTCATACGACCCTCGGTGCTGAGCTTTGTATATGATGGCATACAGAAGGCTGAGCACAATTTGCCATACAAATGTCCCATTAAGAGGGTGAGTCAGAAACACACAGTTGACCTTGACTTGAAAGAGATCATTGATTGCTTACAGAATGTTAAATATATATTGCGACACATGCAGTACGATGCAACTAATATGCCCATATTCCTGCCCGAATATAATTTTACGATTTCGGTTAAATACTTTGGAAATAATGGTAATCTATTTGATTTCTTTGCCTGGGGCTCGTTTTGCGAAATTGGTAATCAGGTTTGTCTAGGCAAAAATACGAATTAAAACAAATCATATTATTTTCTCTTTGTTTGATGAATTTTATGCATGAATAAAGCAAATGAACGCTGCTTTAAAAATGTCATTAAAATATTTTTTGGAATTTATCTTGATGGAACGTGAAGTATATAAAATTGATACAGTTATTTCTAATGTTAGTATACATATATACAATATTATGGATTATGCATGAGCTAACACATATTAATGGACAAAATTATTTTGAACTTTATACTCCACTGGATGCTAGTCGCTTGCTGAAAATGTATATAGTTAAATGGATTATATACATATATATATATATAGACAAATATATAATTAATAAAATATTCCAAACATTTGCCTAAGTAGCTCAACTCTAAAGATAGCAACAGTCTGATAATGGAGGGATGTATCAAAAATGTTAGTCAATATAATGTTATCGATAAATCGAAAAAAAAAAAACATATTTTTCCTTACCATCAATGTGAATCGACGGACTCTGATTAATTTCCTTTACTCCGGCATAAAGAACTTTAGGGCCAATTTTGTCCAATGTTCCTATCTAGAGACGAGTCAAATGGTATTAACTCATCTGCGTGAACAGGTGCCAAAACGTCATTTTTTAAATTTACATTAACTAGAATTCAATCTATACCTACATATATCCCTCCTAGGTCAATAAATACTATTTCATATATGCTATCAAGTTCTTTGAGCTGAGTACGGATTTTTTAATGCCGGTAATAATTGTACGGCAAGCATGGGCCCAAGTACATAATTGTGCATATATCAAAACTGGGAGAGCAAATAGTTGGAAGAGCTGTGGCTGAGTTACTTTGTCGAAGAGAGCACATGAGTTTCACTCAAGGCAGAGCCTGCACGGGAGAAAACTCGAGCGAAAGAGCGCGAGAGAGAGAGACTGTGTGTGTGCGTGTGTGTGTGCGTGAGAGAGTGAGTCGCTCGAAGCCGGGTTTGAGCTGCTGGTCCGGTCTTTAACTAAGCCCAGCGACAGCTCTCCAATCGACAGTCTGCCATCCAAACTCGACCGAAGCGGTACGCATGCGCGCACAGAACGCAACTATTCGATATATATGAAGAAGAAAATATATATCAAGAACTATTTAAACCAAAAGTGTTGTGAATCAGTTCAGAAATCACAAGCTATATAAATATATACAATATCCATATAGGTGTTTTAGCTATATATATGTATACATAGAGGAAAGACAGCAACGCAAATGTGAATACGGCAAAGCAGAAATAAGAGAGAGAAAAAAATAATAAAAAAGCATAAAAATTCCAGAGATCGTTCGGTGTGCGGCATACAACGTGAATGTTGCGGACAGTCAAGCGAACAAAAACCCTTTAAAAAAAATAAGAAGGCAAAAAATATAAAAAAAATAAAAAATAAAATCAAGCAAAGGTGCGAGACAAGAAATTAAATTGATAAACCTTAAAGCAAACGACGAACAACAATAACAACAACAGCAACGAAAAGCCTTGACCGTGCCTAGTCGCCGAGCCTTGGCAGGACTTGGTGTTGCCCAGCGACTGGGACTTGGACCTGGACTTGGACTTGTCGCGCTGCTGTTGGCAATTATCAAGCGCAGTGCATCAGGCTGGGAATGCCAAAACGACTGTAGACAAGTCCACTTTGCTGTGTGTGTGTGATTGTATGTGTGTTACGCGCGCGCGTTCGTGTGTGTGTGTGTGGTAAATAGCTCAAAGCCACGAAATTGCTTTTATCGCCGCGCCAAAATCACCAATTGCGCAAAAATTGAAAGAAAAAAATAAATATATATATATATAATAAAACAAACAAAGGCAAAAACAAAAAAACTGTTAAACTAGCTGACCAGCCAACAGCATTTGGGCCCTTAGTCAACCTAAAACAACAACAATAACAACAACAACAACAACAACAGCAGCAGGAGCGCATCGCGTGGAGCCAGCGATAAACTCCAAAAAGAGCGAGGAAATTGCTAAAATATTACCCGAAAGGCATATTCGCTATGTGCATACATGTGCAACAACAGTCCACAGATACAACAACAACAACAACTAACAGCGACTGCACTGCAAAATGTATAATAAAAAATTACAACAAGTGATCGTGCAGAAAATAGATCGATAAACCGACCCAAAAAAATACGAAAAAAAAGTAATAATAAAAAAATATATATAAAAAAAAAAACGCCAACAGAATTGAAGCAGCATAAAATAAATAAAAGCGGCGTTGGGCACGTTTTTCCTACGTTCATTCTGTGCTTTTTCCACAACTACTTTTTGTGTTGTTGTTGTTGCATTTGCTGTTTCGATTTCAATTGTGGAAATCGCAGAAAAATCGCCAAAACGTATTAAGCGAACCGGTCGAGACAAACGGAGCGATAGAACATAGCTGGACTGGGCAACAGGACTAGCTTAGGCCGGGCAATATTTATTAAACAAAGCCAGAAATTAATTTCACGACTTTTCTGTGCCTGCATTTGAGCTGACTCCGCCAAGCGTGCGTTGCACGCCCTCAAAAACAACAACAACAACAAGCAGAAGCAGAAGGAGAAGAAGAGGAAGAAGAACTACGACCAGCACCGGCTTCTTTATGCGCAGCTTGAACTGGCACTCAGCTTGAGCCAGAGACAGAGTGAGTGAGAGAGAGAGAGAGAGCAAAATGTACGACATCAAGCGCCTGGAAGCCGGACAACAGCAGCTACAACAACAACAACAACAACAGCAAATACAACAACAACAGCCTATTGGACATACACTTAACGAAAGGTTGAGCGGCTCGGCGCCGCTACAGCTAACCTGCAGCGTTATCACGCCCACGCCGCCAGCCCTCTCAGCGAAGAGCTGCTCCAGCAGCCCCATCGAAGCCACACACATGACTTTGTTGACGCTGCGCCGTCGTCGGGCGTTCCAGCGTCGCGCCTGCCTGCTCAGCATATTGGCCGCCTTTGTCTTTGGCATGGCATTGGGCGTCATTGTGCCCATGCTCGGACTGCCCGACTACTTTGCCAGCACCGGCAGCAGCAGCAGCAGCAGCAGCACTGGTGGCGTTCAGTTGGCGCCCGCTGCACTGCTGCCGCCCAGCGAACAGCCGCAGCTGAGCAGCAGCTACGATCGACCGCCGTTGCCCTACAGCGTCTCCTTTGTCAAAGAAGAGGCCGAGCAGCTGGAGCTCAGCGCCGAGCAGGTCTTCCGCA